TCAGCCACTACACCACCCCTTCTTTGCATACCAAAGTCGCGCTGATCACGAACTTAGATATCAAAAAATATAATAGCAGTGGCTCGCCCTGGACGGGTTTTGATAATAAATGAGACTGTCCCAAATGTTTCTTTAATTCTTGGAAGGTTTTCTCACACTCCTTTGTCCACTTGAAACCTTTCTTCCCATTCAGGGTCTCAAAGAATGGTAAGCACTTGTCCGCGGCTTAGGAAACAAACCTATTAAGTGCAGCCACACGCCTTGTTAAGCTCTATACCTACCTTATGCTGGTCGAGCTTCTCATGTCTAGGAGAGCTTGAATCTTCTCTGGGTTAGCTTCGACACCTCGTTGATTGACCAGGAAAAACAGAAATTTTCTTGAGCTTACTCTGAAAGCACACTTCAAAGGATTGATGTTCATTTTATACTTTCTAAGGATGTCAAACATTTCCCCCAAGTGCTCAATGTGGCTTTCGGTGACCTTGATTTGATGAGCATATTGTCGATTATACCTCCATTGTCTTATCGATTTGTTCGGCGAACATTTTGTTTACCAAATGCTAGTAGGTCACTCTAGCATTCTTCAAGCCAAACGGCATAACCCTATAACAGTAAATATTTCGGTTAGTGATAAAGGATATGTGTTCTTCATTAGGCTGATACATCAGGATTTGATTATATCCCGAGTATGCATCCATGAAGTTGAGTAGTGCGTTCCCGTCTATTGCATCTACTAATTGGTCAATTCGGGGTCGCAGAAAATTGTCTTTCAGACAGGCTTTATTCAAGTCTGTGAAGCTGACGCAAGTCTGCCACTTGCCATTTGACTTCTTTACTAGGACTGGGTTGGTGATCTAGTCTGGGTATTTCACTTCCCTGATGAAGTTGATGTTCAAGAGTTTGTCAACTTCATCTTTGAGCACTTTAGAACGCTCTGCATCCATAAATCTTCTCTTTTGTCTGATTGATCGAGCTATTGGGCCGATGTTCAGCCTGTGACACATTACCTTAGGGCTGATTCCCACCATATCAACATGCACCCATGCGAAGACGTCGAGGTTTTTCTTCAGCAACCCCACCAGACTGTCGGCCATTTCTTTACTCAGACTGCTGCCGACCTTTAATAAACAAGTTGGATCTTCCTCGTTGACAAGTATTTCTAGCAGCTCTTCTATTGGTCTTGTTGCGGGCTCTTCCCTATGGACGTGAGGATTTATTGTATCCTCGAGAGGTTTGGAGTGCGGCTCCGACTCTGCAATGACTATGGTTCTCAGGAGAGGCCATTTTAGTATAGCATTGATGGCCCGATTGTAACATTCCCGAGATTTCTTTCTATAGCTTTTGATCGTTGCGACCCCACATGGAGTTGAGAACCTTATTGTTTGGCAAAGCATTGAAGTGACCACACTTAGATCATCCAAGATCGACCTTCCGAGGATGACATTGTATGTGGTTAGGTAGTCCACCACTAAGAATTCTGCCATCACCGTCCTGATTTTGGGTTTTGCCCCCAGAGTTACTGGTAGGTCGATCGTTCCTTTAAGGACCAGTCTGTCCTCGATAAATCCATAGAGCGGCGATGGGTACACCCTCAAGTATTTTTTTGTGAACCTTATCTCTCAGAAAGCTCCCAAGAAAATGATGTTCGTTACACTTCCATTATCGACCATCACCTTTAGTACTATAGCATTGTCAATCCTGGCTGTGATTACAATCACATCATGATTATGGCGAGGAGTTTCTTCACATTCTTCCATTATGAATCCTACCACCTCGCTCTCTTGCTTGGGCTGCTTTGGCGACTTCTGTTTGTAGCTCATTACTCGGGAGACCGAGTCTATTCTGGCCTCTCGAGCATATTGTTCGTGGGAGTGCCTTAAGCTCCTTGCAATGTCAGATCTCCGGCAAATCATGCCTACCAGGACCTTATTGTTGGAGTTGGTCGGGGCTTGCTGGACTTGGTTATTTTGCTCGCCAGTGTTTTCGCGAGCTGGTGCCTTTTTAACAAATTTCTTTAAGTGGACCCTTCGTATCAAGTCTTCGATGACGTCCTTTAAAGCCCAACACTTATTGATATTGTGCCTGATGTCTTGGTGGTATCGATAATATTTTTGTCGTCTCTTCTGCCTGAAGCCCCCCTCATTCTTTTTTGGAGCAGGCAGTCTCTTAGCCTCATAGGAGACTTCATATATATGAGTTATATCTTGCATGAGGGGGGTGTTCTCTGCATATTGCGGGAAGGGCTGCTTGTCCACATAGTAATATGTTCTCTGTCTCTTTTGGGACCTGTTTCGGTCCTTGTCAGTGTAGTCTTGACCCCTCCGCTTATTTGATGGACGATCTTGTCGCCTGTCCAGGGCTCTTCGCGGCGAGCTTTCTACTTGTTGGTGCTTTGCAGCCATCTAGTAACACTTTGCCAAGCTCACATGATCTTCACTTTGGAGCTCTTTCTACAGCTCCTTTTGTGGCTTGATGCTTGTAATTAGTAAAGTCCGGATTAACTCTTTAGGTGCATCCGCAACCTTTGCTTACTCGTTCTGGAACCTTGTTAAATATGAGGTCAGTGTTTCATCTCTCGCCTGACGAATGTTGCTCAAGTAGCTGAACGGCATTGTGAACTGTCTCCTCACTTGGAATTGCTGCAAGTACAGTGAGAAAAATTGTTGCCAAGAACTGATGGAGTTCACCTTGAGCCTCTTGTACCACCTCTTGGCATCCTACCAATGTGACCATGAAGCAGTAGCACTTTACTAAGTCACAGACCTAGTGCAGCTCCATCTGGTCATTGAAAGTGTCAAGGTGGTCTTTGGGATCTCATTTCCTATCGAACTTACTTTCGGGTGCCCTGGATCCCTGGGGAAGCGGGGCTTCGTGAACTTCCTCTCTAAAGGGAGAGCTCACTATTTCTTCTGTCGTATTGTTTTGGCGGGCTCTTAGATCGTTGAACGTTTTTTGCACTCGATCCAAGTCTTTGTTGTGATTGCCCTGGTTGGCTTTGTTCAGCCTTACCTCGAGCAAGTGAGTTCGCAAATCTGTTGCTTGTGAACCCTCTCCATTATGCGCATTGATGCGCGAGGTTGAGTCATGATGGCTAGGTTGGTAGGTGTTATCATGCTCATCAGTGTGTTGCTCGCGACGTTGGTTATAATCGGAACATTGGTCATTGCCAAATTGGCACACATGACTCATCTTGCGAGCTTGCGAGGATCAAGCTTGTCTTAAGCGTGGGTTAAAACCTACAAGCTAACGTTGGGGATATTGTCGAGCAGGTCGAGCGTCTCGTGGGTGACCATTACTTTGTTTTCCCCCATTTGGTTGTTTCCTTGGTCGTCTCCTAGGGTTAATTTGCTTGCGAGACTCACACTCGTGAGTAGAGTGTACTTTGTGATGTTGGGGGTGCCAGTCGCCCCTTGGTGCTGATGAACCAGACTGGTCGTTGACTGAATTCTGACTTATTGGGGTGATATTGATGAAGCGTGGCTGGTCAAGGTTCTGTGTGGTTGGTTGCTGATTTTTCAGCTCAACCACGTTCTATTGCACTGCTTGTGCAACCATTGTCTTGATCATTTTTACCAGTTGGCCATTCTTCGGGGTTTGACGTCCCTGTTCTCTAGTTATTTGCGGCCTATTGATTTGGTGGCACTAGTGGTTGACACCTAGCGGCGTGTTGTTGCACCTCCTAGTGGGTGGTCTCCAGATTGTTGTGGTTTCTGATGGTAGTTTTCGATCTTGTACGTACTATTTTGGGCCTTGATTGATTAGATCATTGTGGCTGTTTGTCGGAATTTCTGAGATTTTGGTGGAGACCCTCAAGCTCCAAAATGTTGATACAAAAATACACCAACTAGAGTGATCTGATCAACCTTGTCGGGACCGGAACTGATGTGTGCGTGATTATGGGTAACCAACAGTGAATAAATAATAAATGTCGTAAAGTACATGATAAAGAGGTTTTTTTAAGTGGTTCGGAGAGTTGAACTCTTGAGCCTACGATCACTGTTTTTGTATTTGCTGTGAGAACTTACAATAATAGTTCTAAAATAATTTGTTAACCTCTTTCTTATCAATGGAGGGGGTTTATATACAGATTGTGTGTAAAGGAAAGAGCGAAAATGAAGGGATTACAATTAAGTTTGAAACGCAACTCCGATATTCTCGCGACTGGACACTGTGATTACGCAAAGATTACCGTCGATCTGATCCTTCCCGAGATATCCGGGATCTAAAGTTATCTGCGAATTGGTTGAACAACTGTAAAGATTGGTCGTGACTAGTTTGTGCTAGGTCAAGCTATAACTTGACGAGCTTATACTGCTCAGACAATCGGTAGAATCGGGCTGGTTCTGGGTCGAGCTATAAGCTCGCAATTCTCGGAGCTTGAAGGAAAAATCACACACAACAACTATTGAATTTAATCTCTCTCTAATCCATCAACTACAGAATTTCGCCTCCATCAGGTAAGAATATCAGACATTCAATATTTATTCCTATTAAAACCACAACACACTTCCTGGAATCCAAATCCTAAAAGTCTAGTTTAATGAATTTTTCTTCTGGTTTTTGAAATGTTATGCAATACTGTAATGAATGTTCAATTTCAGGGTAAGCATACAGTAAACACATTCAAACTCATTTCCGGATGTAAAAAGGATGGCTCTTAACCAAACGCCATCATTGCTCCACTGTTAATTTTACAGCCGGTAATGTTGGCAGTTTCCATGAACAAAACATAAATGTAATTGCATCTGCATATTTTCAGATAAGCAACAAGTGAAAGTTACAAAACTACATGAAATATTTGCCATATTATTCTTCCAAGTTAAGCTTGCTTGGCACATTAACAAAAACTGTTTAAAACGTTCAACAGAAGGTTGCCATATACAGGGCCATTCCATATATTATATATAACACAAACACAGTGAACATGTGCAAAAAGAAACTAGTGCCACAAAACCCAGAAGCCCACAAAAAAACACTGCTGAAGCTTGATGAGAACACCATTAGCCATTCACTATAGTGCCACCTGCAAAGTCACAAAATTACAAATAGAAAACATCAATATCAATCTCTAATAAATGCACATGATATATAACATGATAAAGAACTTACCATTGGGGTGGAGGACCTGGCCAGTTATATAAGATGAGCAATGGTTACAAGCAAGGAACACAAAGCAGGGTGCAACTTCGATGGGCTGACCAGCTCTCTTCATCGGCACTTGGGATCCGAAATTCGCGGTCTCCTCTTCGTCGAAAGATGCAGGAATTAAGGGAGTCCAGATCGGTCCTGGCGCCACTCCGTTCACACGTATTCCTCTTTCGACAATTTGGAGAGCAAGTCCTCTGGTGAATGCCACAATTGCTCCTTTGGTAGATGTGTAGTCAAGCAGCTTGGCGTTTCCTTTGTATGCATTCACTGATGTTGTGTTGATTATCGAGCTTCCCTCCTTCATATGCTTCAGAGCATGCCTACCAAAAAGCATTACAGCCATCATCTTCATGGGTTACCAAAATTAGAAGTGAAAAGTTTCTAACAGGGTTTTGATTACCTAGTCACGAAGAAGTAGGAGAAAATGTTAGTCCTAAACACCCTCTCGAGCCTTTCTTCTTCGATGTCTTCAACCGAGCTTGCTTTGTACTGCTCAGCCGCATTGTTGACGAGAATGTCTATCTTTCCATAGGCGTTGACCACTTCATCAACAACCCTTTTGCAATTCTCATCGAATCCTAAATCCGCGGACACTGCCATTGGGTCCTTGGCGTCCGAGGTCTTGGCCTTTCTCAGCATCTCAAGAGTATCCTGTGCATCTTTGTCCTCTTGAGCCTTTAAATACGTGAAAGCCACAGTTGCACCCTCCTGCGCAAAGCAGTGACACACAGCTCGTCCGATCCCGGAGTCGCCTCCGGTCACCAGCGCCACCTTTCCCTGCAAAAATTTTCCCAATCACGTTAGCTAACTGAATAAAATAATCCACAATTTCTTACCTTACGAGCCATACTTTCAGCTTATTTGATGGCGTGTAGTCATTGCTAACAAACTGAGGAATTGGGTCCATGACGTGCTCTTTTCCGGGCTGCGTTTTCTGCTTTTGAGGAGGAAATTGCTGATTACCAGAAGCCATTGTTCTCACTCTCACTCTACTGATGAGTCTCTGATTCTCCAGGCTAAATATTGCCGGAACAGAACTTTTCCGGTGACTTGTTAGACGGGTTTGGTTTATAGGCAAAGAAGTTATAGTTGATGACAGTCTTGATGGAGAAAGTAGCCGAAGTGTGAACATATATAGAGTGGCTAAAGCTGGAGGATTATGATGAGTTAAATTATATTTATATTGAAAGATGAATCAAAATTGGTGATAATTTTACAGAGAGTTTGCAGGAGGACACGTAGGACTACGTGGCGGAAGGAGGAGTCCAGGTGTCATCGTGGACGGGAAGAGGCGGACACGTCTGTGGAAACGCTCGTAAAGAGGGGGAGTTCTAGCAAATTCGATCTTCCGAATTTTTCTATTTCTGACCAGACGACAAGACTCCCCTCAGGATTTTCGGAAATTCTAACCAAAACATGAATCTCTTCATCCTAGGATTTCTAAATTTACAATAACAAATAAACTAATGAAAAGATTGGTGGATGATTTGATGAGACTGTTTGTATAATTAATGTCAGATCATATATTGGTCTTTTGAGTGGTCCCTGATTTCCAATTTGAGTCCCTGAAATCTTGGGGGTTTTATTAGGATTTGATGGTATAAGTTAGGCATCGATTAAGTACAAATGCCTGATTAATCAGATTAGAAGGAGCTCTCGGCCTTATGTTTGGTTTCGCATGAGTTGAACATCAACTTTTTAAACACATTTTACACATTAAGCCGATATTATTTTTTTATAACTGAGCTGTCCAGTTTAGGGATGTCAGTTGAGCTGAGTCGCTTGCAAGCGGCTCGACTCAGTTTCAGTGTTGAACCGAGTTTGAGTCAGCCATATTTTGGCTCAACTCGGGCTCGAAAAACTCGATTGGAAAACAAAAAAAATGAATAACTAGAGAGCTTTTATTTGGTGATCTCAAACTCGAATTTTCAGTCCCGAGCTCGAATTCGAATTTTCAAGCTCGCCAAGCTTGAGCTCGAACTCAAGCTTAACACTGTAGCAAAACCCGATTAACCCAAAACTCGACTCGACTCATCTACACCCCTAGTTAGGTTAGCTTATGTGCACCTCCACATCCTAGCCTTGAGCCCTTAGACAAAATATGGGCGAAAGTACCACCTTTGTATTCAACGGGGGAATCAAACCTAAAATTGTGGATTATACAATTTGCAACCTCATTGATTCGCCGTTACCGCTAAGCTACCATGGAGGGTTAAGCCGGCATTATTTATCTTAGTACAGTCGACCAAGTTGTTGATACATATGCTAAATGGCTGAAAATGATCTGTTTTTAATTTCCTGTGATTAATTGAAAACATCCCAGTAAGCTTAGCCTTTTTTATTTCATTGATGTTTTATCACAAACATTTTCGATTATTTCATAGTCAATCGTCTCACATGGTTCACATTTGGGATTCAAATGTTCATATTTTCTGCCGTCTGTTACATAAAACTTCTAAATTGGTTGACAAAACTGGGATGCCATTTTAGGCACCATAATAAACTCAATAATAAATTTCTAGACCGTGAATGGAAATGATATGATAACATTATAAATATGCCCAGCGTATAAGTTCTTTTATATGATTTTCCAAGTTTCGAACCATAAACTTTCATAACACCAAGCCTATAGCTTGTTTATTTACATTACATTTACAAACACAAACCCTTGTACACACCATACAACAGAAAGATACAGAGATTTGACAAACAAGCTGGCTCTTCAAGAATTCACAATCACCCCACCTGCAAAATCAAAATTAAAGATTATAAAAATATCAAATTGTCGTACTGTAGATGATATATAATTAGTTATTGTTGAATACACTTACCATTAGGGTGGAGGACCTGGCCAGTTACATAAGAGGAGCAATGGTTACAAGCGAGAAACACATAGCAAGGCGCAACTTCAACAGGCTGACCAGCTCTCTTCATCGGTACTTCGGATCCGAACTTTGCACTCTCATCTTCGCTGAATGATGCAGGAATTAATGGAGTCCAGATGGGTCCAGGCGCCACACCATTCACACGTATTCCTCTGTTGACAAGTTGCAGAGCAAGCCCTCTTGTGAATGCCGTGATCGCTCCCTTTGTTGCTGTGTAGTCCAGCAGCTGGGGATTTCCCTTGTATGAAACCACCGATGTGGTGTTGATTATGGCACTTCCTTCCTTCATATGCTTCAAAGCGTGCCTATATATCATCCACAACACAATTAAACATGATCGAAGATTTTAAATTATCAATAATTTTGTGTAACACCCGGTCTATTGTCAAAATTTTATCTTCCACACTTTCATGGTGGGGTTCGGATTTGTTACTATTTGACGTGGAAAAGAGATAAATCCGCGGTATCTAAACAATGGATTACTCTGGTTAAAAGATTTTGATTCATTAATTGTTACCTAGTCATGAAGAAGTGGGAGAAAATATTAGTCCTAAAGACCCTCTCGAGCCTTTGCTCATCAATCTCCTCAATGGAGCTTGATTTGTACTGCTCAGCGGCATTGTTAACGAGAATGTCGATCTTGCCATAAGCGTTCACCACTTCGTCAACAACCCTTTTGCAGTTTTCATCATATCCCAAATCTGCCGGTGTTGCCATGGGATCCTTCGCGTTCCGGCTCTTAGACTTCCTTGTAATCTCAAGAGTGTCCTGTGCATCTTTGTCCTCTTGAGACTTCACATACGTGAAGGCCACGGTCGCACCCTCCATAGCAAAGCAGTGGCACACGGCTCGCCCGATCCCAGAGTCGCCTCCAGTCACCAACGCCACCTTCCCCTGACAATAATTTAATGTTATTTACCAACTAACACTAGTACATTATGCATATTCTCCAATTTCTGAAAGCCATACGCGAAGTTTGTTTGATGGGGTGTAGTCATCGCTGGTAAACTGAGGACTGGGGTCCATGACGTGCTCTTTTCCAGGCTGCCTCTCCTGCCTATGAGGAGGAAACTGTTGCTCATTAGAAGACATTTTTCTCTGAAACACTCTTAAAGGGTCTCTGACTTCCACGGAATGTTGGCGGAAAACGATTAGTCCGGGTACTTTTCAGGCGGGTTTCGTTCAGGGAAAAAGAAAATATTCTTGTTGCTAACACTCTTGAGGAAGAGAATAAGCGAGGAATCATGTATTTATATGCATAATTTAGGATTTTGATGTGTGTATAAATGGAAAGTTGGCACCAAACTTTGTGCATTTTGTAGGGACACGTAAGAATACGTGGCGGAATTGAAGAAGAATGGAGGTCGATGTGTCGTGCCAGTCGCATGCAGCAAAGATGCCTGTGAAAATGGACGTTTTTGATGAGATAGGGACCATGTGAATTTGTTGATTTGGAGTAAATCCTGATAACTATTGTATGAATTAATTGAACCATTGAAAGATCATGTATCATCTGTAATTTGTAACCAAAGAGGTTTAATTAGTATTTGGAAAAAGTGGATTACTGTTCTAAATACATACAGTATTTGTTAATATAACTAGTCAATTAATTTAGATTTTAGAAGCAGATTAATTAATCAGCTTAATGATATATGAACATTTGAATCAATGGAAATACAGAGATTAGAACGGCGTAATCGATGCTTTGCATGGTGGCCACGTGCTGGAGTTATCGACTTATACTTTGTCATTTGGAAACCAACTTTTCTGGTATTAGAAAGCTCACAAACCGGCACCTGTAAAGACTCTTCAGTACTTACTTGCATTCAAGCCAAATCCAAAGGGGAAAAATTTGAGAGCATATATAGAGTAAGAAGCACAGCAAATAAAACTCTAAAAATTCCATTTGCTTTATTTCTTCTGGTGCATTCTTCATAGTTATCTGTCTCAGCTCCTTGCAGTTGGTTATTTAACAATTATGGCCCGTTTCAAACTTACCTTCTTCTTCATTCTCTCGGTTCTCCTTCATGCAGCTCTCTTGCTTCCTCATATGGTGCACTCTAAAGGTTTATTCGCTCTCTCTCTCTCTCTCTCTCTCTCTCTCTCTTGTTATTAATGGGGTTTTTAATAATGTTGTTTGGCTGCATGAGAGTTAATATATATCTAGCCATCTAGTATGAGATTTGAGTGGCATATTTATGTTTCTTAATTTGTTCTTGCACTTGTATTTTTTATTATAAAAAAATGCATAAAAATCCAACTCTCTGGAACATACATTGACCCCCTTGTGCCCTCTGTCAACTTTGTCCAAGGCTTTCAAAATCTAGCAAATGCCTCCTTTAAGCTCGTTAACGTTCTTTCTACATGCTTCTCCACGCGGAAGAACAAGAAAATCCTTAATTAAAGGGGATATTGTCGGTGCAGCCCCTTTAATTTGTTGAGAGAATTAGACAAGAAAAAAGCAAAAAGTGAAGAAGAAACCCCATCCAACAAGTTATGCTGATCCCATAAAAAGTAAAATCAATTAGTCAAGTCTAGCTATCAAAGAATCAATACATATTTCGGTGTATTATTCCAAGCCCCATTTCATAAAATTCTGGAGATTTTGATTTATTCTGTTAGTTAAAATTATACCATGTAAGCATCAATAGCACAATATAGGAGTCATTTAATACAGAGCTTAACTAAGTAGTAATTCAATATCTTTAAGCAATAGTTCAGTTTGTGTTCTTTAATGACATTGTTGAAGAATGAATCTCGGTAATGAAATTGTATATGATTAATCTAATTAATGATTTCCCATTTAAATTTCAATCGTTTCACAAATCAGGGACTAATCATGTTGTTCAATTAAGTAGATCAAGATTGTCTGCATTTCGCATACAATTTGAAACTTATTATACTCTTCATTGTTATTTCCCCGCTTGCAGACGAAGATGAGGACAATCTTCTTCAAGGAATTAACAGTTACAGGACATCACTAAACCTTCCAGCTCTCACAAAGAATGACAAAGCAGGATGTCTTGCTGACGAAATTGCAAATGACCTAGAGGATCAGCCTTGCAGCAGCAACACCACCGCCAGCACGCCTCAATCAGCGAATTACAACAACAACATAAGGAAGTGTAAAATTGATCCCAACACCGCAACCGATGGCGTCGTACTACCGGTTTGTGTACCCAAATTGGTGCCAACCCTTGTGCTCACAAACTATACACACACTCCGCATGCAAGGTATCTAAACAACTCGAAGTATACCGGCGTTGGCGTCGGCTCGGGAGATGATTGGATGGTTATGGTATTGTCTGGCAACACTGTTGCAGGAAGCTTTGCCAGCGAAGCAACTTCTTTGGTTTCAAAGATGGGTTTGGGACATCACAGCTGGATGGCTTTGCTTTTGGGATTGCTTCTTTATTTGGTGTATTACTAAAAGTGCTTTTTCCCTTTTGAATGACTTGTAGATTTCGTAATTCTCAGTCTGTAATTTTGTATACTTCGTTTAATTCTCAGTGACTCTTCAATATTTGCATATGAAACATATTTTGTTGCTCTAGGAGTCTCAATTGTTGATCTTAATTGCAGCAATATTCGGATATATGATATTTACCTGACTTGAAGTAAAGTTGATTAGTTTAATTGGATATTTGATTTAAAGAGAAGTGGGATTATTCAAAGCGGGTCCTGCAAGCAGCTTCAGATAGAAGCCAGCATCGATAAAGAAAGATTCATGGAGATAACCATAAGCAATGCTTAAGAATTTGATTCCAGGGAGCTTTCACTTTAATTTGGCTTGAAAATCACACCTTTAAGAACACAATATGTACCTCAATGTTCTGTAGTCTTGTTTTGTGCATTCTTAATCTTTAGCACACAGAAGCCACCCTTTGGTTAATAAGTAAAATATGGCAGCTCTGAAACTTAGCCTCTTCTTCCTCGTTCTCCTTCAAGCAATTTGCTTTCTTCCTCATCGGGTTCACTGCGGTACAATTCTCCTTTTCTCTCTCTGTCTCTCTCTCTCTCTCACTTTCATGCACACATATGGTTTGGGATTCTTATATATGAGTCATCACATTATTCAGTGGCAACACCAGTGGAAAATTAACATTTTCCGGTGACATTACCACCAATGCCACCCTCTAAATCGGCAGTTTCCGCCGCATACTTCTATTCTTATATATAGATCATTACTTGTTGCTGTAACTGGCTTATTTTTATCATTGACGTAACATTCTGGTTGTGTCCCATTTCCATTGTTTTTTACAATTTCTGCTTAGAAAAGGGTTTGTGAAAATAATCAAACTCGTTGCATTCAAGAACATTCAATGCACGAAAATTCTCGATGCATACTGAATTATAAAACTCTATACTCAATCCTGCAGGTGATGAGGAGGATATCCTCCAAGGACTCAACAGTTACAGGACATTAATACGTGAACCACACCTCACAGAGAACAAAAATGCAAAGTGTGTGGCTGAAAAAATTGCAGAAGATTTAGAGGACTATAAATGCAACTCAACCAACGGTGTAAACACACCAGTATCCACTCAGCAGCAGTTTGCCACCGAGAAAATTATAAAAAAGTGCAAAATCCTCCCGGAATCCACCAAAGAAGGAGTTATACTATCAGTTTGTGTGCACAAATTGGTGCCATCTCTTGTGTTCACAAACTTCACATACACTTATAAGTATACCAAGTTTTTGAAGAGTTCCAATTACACGGGAGCCGGGCTCGGCTGCTCTGACGACTGGATGGTGCTCGTGCTAACGACGAACACCGTCGGAGGGAACTTCACGACCAGCGGGGCTATTTCTTTCGGGTTGAGGAAGATCAATGGTTTGAGTTATAATGTGGTGGGGTTGGTGGTGGCATTGCTTGTTTATTTGGTGTTTTGATGAGTGATTAATATTTATATGGTTTTTGTTTGTTGTATTAATTCGTTGGTTTGTTTTGGGCTTGGGTGTGTGAATATTAATTGTTCTGGGTTTTGGGTCATTGTGTTGAAGAAGGATTGTAATTTGTTTGTGTCAAATAAAAATTAACCTCATCAAATGTTCATTCACTTTGTAATAAGATTATGGCAATGCTCATACAAAAAATTTTTTTTATAATAAATATTAGAAGTCTCGCATTATTTATTTATAATGTATGTATGCTATATTGAAATGGAGAATAGAGAATTTTCAATAATTGTATATATTTTTAATAGAACTAGGTATTGTTTTAAAATCTAGACCGGATTAACTAACTCGATTGGTCTTATTAGAAAATGAACTTTTATTCAGTCCGAGTACATTCTAAATTTGATTATAACAGTTGAACATGATTGACCTAGGGTTGAATCGATGAAGCAATGCCGGATCATGGGGGTTAGAGAATCGAATTGGTGACATTAACATAACATAATAAAAATTTAAAATTCTAATAAATTTCTAAAATAATTCCATCCAAATCTAAAATCCAAACAACAAATAAATAAAATAAATTGTAAATCTAAATCTAAAGATGAAATGTTAAATAAAATAAATCCAAAATCCAAAAAAGTGCTTTCGATTGAGCAAAAGTGTTTCTAAAATATTTATTTAAAATATTAAAATATATGTGGTTATAAATAGGAGAATTTTGTGCTGACGTGGAAGCATAATGGGTGCCACCTAACACCCCGTCATCTTGCCTTGTTGGCTCACACTTGCAAAATAATATTAAATTTTTTTATTTTTAATTATTTAACTGAAACTAAAAAATTCCCCACCCAACATAGTGCCACCGGCTAAAATACGCGAAGTGTGCATAATTGAATCTGCGCATTATCAATCTTCATAACAAAAACAGAGATTCAGGGTCTGCGAGCTCGCGAGCTCGAGAGACCTGAGCCAAGCTATGACAACGACAGAAGACGATGATGACGAGGGTTTCGGGGAATTCACCTTTGCGCCGATCACTGTCCATTCAAACCCCAAAATCAACGGCTCTGGTCATCACGGTAAAGTTGATGACGATTGGGGCGATTTCGTAACTCCTGCTTCGCTCTCCCGCTGCGAAACGCTACCTGTAAAATCACTAGATCCGATTAATTTGTCCTCGGATCGCCGAACCGATAGCTTGAAAACTGATGCGGCGCAGCCTGACTCGGCCCCGAGTCGGATTCGGGATCAGTGGGAGAAACCGAAGGGCGCGTTGCCGTTATCGTTGTTTGGGGAGGAAGAGAAGGAGGATGACTCAGGTGCGCCGGGTTTATTATTTAATGGTGCACCCGAGTTGAAGAAAACTGAGAAAAAGATGGGATCGGAGTTGAATGCGAGTTATTTGATTTCGAATTTATACTTAGGGAGCGAGCAGAGCAAGGTGGGAAATCGGTCGGGTTTGAATTTGGATTCAAATGGACTGGATTTGAAGAGAAGTGCAGCGAATTTGGATTCAAACGGTTCGGCTTTAAAATTGGAGAACTGGGGTTCGTATGGGCTGAATTCAGATTCAAAAGGATTGGATTTGAAGAGAAGTGTGTCAAATTTGGAAATAAACGGGTCCGGTTTAAAATTGGAGAATTGGGGTTCTTATGGGTTGAATTTGGATTCAAAAGGGTTGGATTTGATGAGAAGTGTATCGACTTTGGGTTTGAATGGATTGGATTCGAAGATTAATTTGGATTCAAATGGGTTGAATTCGGGTTTAGACGAGGATGACGATGATGGGTGGGAATTCAAGGCTGCAGAGACTAAATTACCAAACGGAGATTTTAATTTTAAGGTAATTGTTTAATTGTTGAAATAATTTAGGAAATGGAAAGAAAATTCAAAATTTTGATACTTTAAGAGGGTTGTTAATTTTGCAAAAAAGATGAACTTGCCATGTTAAGCGTAAGACTTGTAGAACATGTAACAGAGTATGTAAAATTTGCTCTGAAAGTTAAACATAAAACTCATAATGAACTTAAAATTTTGTAATGTGACAAAGTGGTGTTCTTTTTAGCTCATAAAGAATAAACTTTTGAAGATCATGAGTTTTTGTTGTTTGAGCTAATTAACTTGTTGCTCTATTGCGAACTTTTTGAACCAGAGTCAACACGAGGTGAAAGCTGAAAATGTACTAATGCCAAAGGTTGATGGACTTAAGTCAAGTTGGAATGCACACTTAAATGGGTTGAGTTCAAGCGTCAATGGAGTGAATAAGGATGCAAATGGGTTTAGTTCAAGTTTAGTTGACAAAAGTGAGGATTTTGGGGATGATGATGAGTGGGAGTTCAAAGATGCAGAAACAGAACCATGGTCTGCCGATAGCAACAATAAGGTTCATCTATTTCTCTTTATTTGAATTTTTTTTTTTTCCTAATTGCTTGTGTCTGAGTTTGGAATTTTCATTTTTGTTTTGTTGGGGTTTCGTAGTTAAATTTTTTGCTTAAGGTCCAACATGAGGATTTTTCTTGTGCAAGTCATGAACTGTGAAATAGAAATATATATATTTCTCCCAACATCTGCTCAGCCATCGAAAATAGATAATGAATGTTATATTGTAGTTATTTGTCTTTTACTGATTGTAATAGTGCAATTGTTTAAGAGATTGCTGAATAATCACAATTGAAAGAATCTTTATTTGGAAGTTTAGCAATAATTAATTGTTTTATCTACTATCGGTGCTGCCTAGTACTTGGTTTTAAATACTTGATTTTACATTGAAGTTCAGGAATAATTAATATTTGTGTTATATTCCATTGATTTTATGTTATTTGTTTTTTTAGCACCATTAAATATATATATGACTTTGGATTTTATTTCCATTTGGTTTATAAGAGACTGACATCCTTTCATTTGAAGGTCAACAACAAAGGGCCTGGGAATTCTGAGGGAGTTAAACACACATTTGTCTTTGACAATGGGGCACAGGTTCCTACCGATTTGTTTACTGTATCAAATGGGATCTCTCAAAAACCTGGTCAATTGGACTTTGGTTTAGATTTCAGCAAAAGTTCTGTTTCACCAGATGGTATTTACTGTTCATTCTCAAACAGTGAGCAGAAGAATGATAATGGGGCACAGGTTCCTACCGATTTGTTTGCTTCATCAAATGGGATCTCTCAAAAATCTGGTCAATTGGACTTTGGTTTTGATCTCAGCAAAAGTTCTGTGGCACCAGATGGTATTTCCAGTTCATTGTCAAACAGCGAGCAGAAGAATGATAATGAAAATGGACTGAATTCTGCTTCTGTTATTGGCAATGTTGAGAATGGAGAAAATTTATGGGAATTCAAGGATGCATTTTCAGAAACTGGATCGAAGGATAGGGTAATGATTTAACTTAAACTTCCATTTAAATGTAATTAACTATGATCTAGATTTTGAGGACAACGTACATAATGAAAGCTTCCTCATATTTGTAAAATGAGTCCATGTTAGCTCCAATTTGTCCTGCTTTAGGGACAGCATTTACTTTTCACATTGATATTCAAGTGTGGCTCATTTGATTGGCTCTGTATGTTTCGTAAAACTCTGTGACTTTATCTTTTGCAATTCAAATGTTTATACTTAGGACCTAGAGGAAATTTACATTAATTGAAATTTGTATGCTATCTCAGTTTCATGTTACTTATAAATTGGTCAACCTATATCTTTTGTCAAGTTTTGAGTATCATGGATAAATTAAAAGTTTGTTTGTACATGCTTTATAAGAACATTTTCATGTTCTAATTTGATTTTTACTTACTCAGGGAAAAGACACTAAGTTGGAGAGCCACAGGGGAGCCTTACCTTTGTCCCTTTTTGGGGATGGTGACATAGAAACTAATGACTCCTCAATTCATCAAGATGTTCCTAATTACAATCTTGCTTCCTCTACAACAGACGACATTAAGAAGAGTCAGGGATCGAGTGTATCTATCAGTGATCTCATAACAAGTTTATACAGTCAAGCTGAGCAGAATACTCCTGTCAACCATACACAAAATCCAAGTGAAAAAGGTTTTAATTCTGTGCAGAAAGTTGTGGATTCTAATTTAGCAGATGGTGATGGTGATGGTGATTTTGATGATGATTCTTGGGAATTTAAAGGTGCTGTTTCCAGAACAGTAGATGATCAGATCTCAGTTCCTGGTCTTGGAGATTCACATGTGAGGCACTCTACCAAGGTGGAGCCAAAAAAATTGATTGAGCAGAAAGATTATGCAGATTTTTATTCCGAACTAGAGGATGAATTATTGTTTGTTGCACAGTACCATCTTGACAATCTAAAGGTTGGAAGATTTGTTAAGATATATTTTTTCCCTTCAAATGTCAATGTTGTTAAATCTTTTAAACTTTTTAAATTCGCTTTTTGTTAGAAAGAACGAAGTACTGCTGCTCTTTGTGGTGAAGATGGTAAGCTAGAAGCTATTGACAAGGAAATTCAGGTTGGTTACTGTATCTTGTTGATGAGTATGTTCATTGGCTTTCTTTTTATTGGTCATGAACTTCTTGTTATGACGGCTATTGATAATGCGGCCAAATATTATCAATATCCTTTAAAGAAAATATGGAATTTATTCCTTTTTGTTTTGCTCTCCCGTTCTTTTGGGAGTCTTTTGAGAAAATCAGGATGGAATTCTTATGCAATAATTTTTTTTCTTGCATAGTCAAAAGAATGGTAGTAAAGCAATGATATTGACATTACTAAAAAATTGAAAAAAATTCATGGTGCATTGAGCTTCCTCCCTTCCTGATGATTCTGTAGAAAGAGATCACTGTTTTCTAACTTGTAAGAAACTTTATATAGTACACTTAGTAATCTTTTCTTTTCTCTGCTGTTGCAGGATCTGTATAATGAATTGCACCAAGACTGTATTATTTCGAAAGTTCACCCAGAGAATCGGCCACTGAGCAATATTCACCTTAATGAATTCATTGAAGTTCTCCAGGAACCAACGTTCCATGTTCTTGAGTCAGAATATCATTTATCAATGAGATTGTCATTAGTAAGTGTCTTTTTCTTTATTTTTTTGATGAAGAACCATATATTTTTTTTTTTTAATAGGATTACATGCTTCTACCTTTTGAAGAATAAAAAACTAAGTATGATAAAATACACTTCTATTTTTTTTATTTTTGAATTGATTGTATAAATTATATTGCAAACTGCGGGGTTTGTTT